TTACTTTTTAGAGACGGGGTCTTGCTCTTTCAACTCAGGCTGGAGTGCAGTGTTGTGATTATAGCCCACTGCAGCCTTGAATTCCTGCACTCAAGTGATCCTCCTGCCTCACTTCCTGAGTAGCTGGGACTACAGGCACATGCCTACACATCTGGCTAATTTTTAAATTTTTTCTTTGTAGAGATGGTCTCATTGTGTTGCCCAGGCTGATCTCCAACTCCTGGAGTTAAGAGATTCTTGTCTCAGCCTCCTAAAGCACTGGGATTACAGATGTCAGCCACTGTACCTAACCTGTTGGTTGTTTTAAATCAGGAAATTTGTTTTCCAATTCTAGGAAATTCTATGAATTATTTCTTTAATTCTTTCATCCCTTATTTTTTCTCTGTTTTCTATTTCTATATTTCTAGACGTTTTTGTTTTTTTTTTTTTTTTTTTTTTTGGGAACCCTTGCTCCGTCACCCAGGCTGGAGTACAGTGGCGGGATCTTATCTCACTGCAACCTTTGCCTCCTGGGTTCAAGCAATTCTCCTGTCTCAGTCTCCTGAATAGCTGGGACTACAGGCACATGCCAGGACACCTGGCTAATATTTATGTATTTTTAGGAGAGATGGGGTTTCACCATCTTGGTCAGGCTGGTCTGGAACTCCTGACCTCAGGTGATCCATGCGCCTTGTCCTCCCATATTTCTAGAAGTTTTATTATTCAAATGATTTGCTTTATAGACTGGGTCCTAATTTTCATATTCTTTCCTATTTTTCAACTCTGTCTTTTTGCTCTGCTTTCTGGGCATTTTCTGTAATTGTATGACCTCATGCTTCTTGAATTTTTCCTTCTTGCTTTTAAATATTTAATTTCCCAGAGTTCCTTTTGTCCCTTGAATGTCCTTTTTTCAGTGTGCATGCACCACACCTTTTATTTTAAGGATGCAGTATTTTCTTCTTTTTTATGTTGATGTAAATTATAGGGTTTTTCTAAAAGTTTTGCTTTTCCTGAATATTGTCCATTTCAACCAAATTACATTGCTGTTATTTTAATCTTTTATACTGGCTGTTTGCCTCATGTTTTGTGATCTTTGGCAGTGTTTGTGTTTGTGTGTGTGATGAAGCACTAGAAAGCTGATCTGAGATTCTGTGGGGTGGAACCTATCAACTGTGGCTTCTCAATGGTGAATTACTTGGGCAGTTTTCCTAAGGGAACTCTCACTGTCACTATCTGTGGATCTTTCCTGTTGGTGGGTGATCAGATTCCTCAAGAAGATAACTTCCAGTCTCCTTTGAGGGGTACTTGGCAGCCAGAACTCTAATTACTAATTTGTGGGGAAGAAGGCTGAGGGTCTCAATAATCTCAGTAATCAATGTTCATTTCATTTAATCCCCCTGCTTTTGGCTTTTACCCTTAATCATGCCTAATAGTTTCTTTTCTTTTATTGAGACGGAGTTTCGCTCTTGTTGCCCAGGCTGGAGTACAATGGCATAATCTCGGCTCACCACAACCTCCACCTCCCCAGTTCAAAGCAATTCTCCTGCCTCAGCCTCCCAAGTAGCTGGATTACAAGCATGCGCCACCATACCCCGCTAATTTTTTGTTTTTAGTAGAGACAGGGTTTCTCCATGTTGGTCAGGCTGGTATCGAACTCTTGACCTTAGGTGATCCACCTGCCTTGGCCTCCCAAATGCTGGGATTATAGACATGAGCCACCACGGCCGGCCCATGCCTGATATTTTCTTATCCACACTTTATTTTACACTCTTCTAGATCAAAGCACTCAGTCTTTCAGGCCATAGAGAAACAGTGACCTGAGTGCTTGGTGTAGGAAATATCAGAGGGTGCTAATTTGTAAATAGGCTTTCAACCAGTCCTCTTTTTTTTTTTTTAAAGACGGGGTTTCACCATGTTGGTCAGGCTGGTCTTGAACTCCTGACCTCAGGTGATCCACCCGCCTTGGCCTCCAAAATGCTTGGATTACAGGCATAAGCCACCATACCGGGCCTCAACCAGACCTCTTTTTTTCAGCTCTATCTCTGCTTCCTTTCTGTAGTGAGATTGAATTCCATCAATTCTTACGTCTTTGGAGGTTTCTGATGTGATGTAAGTGCAGCTGCTTCTCTGATTTTCCCACTGACTGTTTAAGGCTTCTGTTTTCTCAAGTGTATTTTGGGAGTGTTCACTTGTCTGCCTCCTTTTTTGGTACCAAGCACTATTGACTTTTCATTCTCCCTGTTTGTCCTTGTGAGTTATGCCTTTATCTGTTTTATTGAGAAATCACATAAAATGCATATAGTACCCTGATATTAAATTTATAGTTTAATGATTTTTAGGTATGTATACAGTAGTCCCTCCCTCCCCTTAACTAAGGGGGATACATTGCAAGACCCCTGGTGGATGCCTGAAACCATGGATAGTGTGGCACCCATTGCTTTCAATTGGAACATGTTTCTGTTCATATATGAGCCTTTCCATCTTAACTAAACACTTATCACATGCTTTGACCATAAGTTTTGCAGTTTGAGGAACAACAGCAAAACTGGTGTGAATTTCTTTTTCCTTCTTTACAGTTTCAGGAATAGAGAATGTTTTCTTAACTGTAGAGCTTAGCAACATCAGCATATGATTTTTTTTTTCTTGTTAAGTTGAAAACTTTCATGTTTTCACTTGAATGAAGCACTTCACAGCTTCTTTTCAGTATATCCAAATTGCCAGCATCATTACTCTTGCACTTTGGGGCCATTATTAAGTAAAAAGAATTATTTGAACGCAACCACCACAAAATTGGGACAGTTGATCTGATAACCAAGATGGCTACTATATTAGTCCATTTTCACACTGCTGTAAAGAACTGCCCAAGACTGGGTAATTTGTAAAGAAAAGAGGTTCATTTGACTCACCTTTCTGCATGGCTGGGGAGGCCTCAGGAAACTTACGATCATGGCAGAAGGTGAAGGGGAAGCAAAGACCTTCACATGATGGCAGGAAAGTGAGAGCTGGCAACGGCTGGGAAAACTGCCTTATAAAACCATCAGATACTGTGAGAACTCACTATCATGAGAATAGCATGGGGCAAAATGCCCCCACCATCTGATCATGTCCCACTGGGTCCCACTCTTGACACCTGAATCTCATTACAATTCAAGATGAGATCTGGGTGGGGACATTGCCAAACTCTATCAGCTACTAAGTGATCGTGAGAGGGGAGCATAGACAGCATGGATGCCCTGGACAAAGGGATGATTCATGCCCCAGGGCGTCACAGAGAGGGACAAGAGATTTAATCATGATACTGAGACTGTGCAATTTAAAATTTACAGATTATTCATCTGTGCAATTTTCCACTTAATATTTTCAGATCATGGTTGACTACAGGTAAGTGGAACCACAGAAAGTGAAACTGTAAATAACGGGGGACTACAGTACACCCTTGTAGTCATCACGCACATCAGCAGAAAACATTTCCAAAGGCCGTGAGGTTCCCTCCTGTACCTTTGAAGTCTATAGCCTTCACCTATAAGCACTATTTTGATTTATGTCATATCATAGATTAGTTTTTCCCATTATTTAATTCGTTCATATAGAATTGTATAGTATGTGGTCTCAATATGAAATCTTTTGTATTTGGCTTTTGCTCAAAGAATTGATGAGATTCATTGATGTTTTAAACTTGTTGCAGGCAATCAAGTTTAAAAATTTTTTTCTATGTATTATTGTACTGCATGAATGAGTGAGCATTTGAGTTGTTTCAAGGGTTTGCCTTTTGTGAATATAGTTGCTGTGAGTATTGCTGTACATGTTTTTGGCATGCACATGCATCCATTCCTCTTTGTTATATACCTGCAAGTGGAAATGCTGGGTCATTGAGTGGGTGAATGTTTAACTTTAGTAGAAACTGCCAGTTTTCCAAAATGGTGTATCATTTTGCAGCTTTCACAGCAAAGTGGAAGACTTCTACTTGTCTTCACTTAGCACTAGTCAGGCTTACATTTTAGCCATCTGATAAGTGTCTAGTTGTATCACTGGATTTTAGTTTCACTTTTTGAGGGAATAGTATGCTGAACACCTTTTCAGATGCTTTTTTTTTTTTTTTTTTT